ATTAACCAAGTTAGTGTGTGTAGGAAGAGAATACATGAGGGGGGGTAGGGTGAGTTGGACCAGCTTAGAAGGAATGTCTGGGGGCATCTTGAGTTGGCTGTTTCTAGGCGAGTTATTGTGACAGAGGCAATAAAAACTGTCCTAATCTAGGTCCAAAATCATGGCTGGGATTACTGATCTTCAAGGCAATCCAAATTACATCCAAACAGAGTTAAACATGTGAGGTTAACTTTGCCATAGATGTGAATCTATGTCCTGCTAAACACATGCATCAGAGCACGTGGGATAAATGTTTAAATTATGTATTTTTGAAATTTATGTGGAAAAGAGAAACTACTTGAGGATAAAAATTGAGGTCTAGAAAGTTGAGCCTTAGGGAAAATTCCATAGCTGTTCAGGGAATCTAAGGCAGGGTTTTAGCCTGAGTATGCAGCTTCAACCACCTCACCCTCACCATTCGATAACAATGATAATAACAACAGCAATAATAATAGCAAAAGCTATCTGGTCAAGTATTATTGCAATTTTCTTTTCATCAACAATTTGGTGTTCTTTCCAAATCATCAAATGAACTCAGATGTGACATACTTACAAAAAGTTTTTAACTCCACCCAGTCATGATGTGAACATGGCTTGTTTTGCAATATGTTGCTTCACCATGACTACCCTGCCCCTGCTGTTTTGGGCTGTGAACCCGAATAACACTTTTAGCTCTCCGGGCGGGGTGCTTTCTCTTTTAGTCTTTATTTTGAACTTTGGAGAATAACACATGTACAGATAGGTACAGCTCTATTTTCTTATGCTTGTGTGTATGGGTGTGTGTGTTTGTAGATTCTGTGTATGTGTGCATGTGTGTGTGTGTAATCTGTGTGACCCTTGTCCATCTATTCCAAAAATAAGGTTTTATTACAGAGAGGATAATTATGTAACATGATTGAATTTACAGATTAATACTAATTTTTGTTAAAAAAGAAAATAGCTCTTAAGTCAAATGTCTTATTATTTTCACCCAGGATGTAACTATGATCCATTCACTAACCTGTTTACTGATGGATATAGGTTTAGAGCACAGTTCTGATGTTGACTCCTTTTAATAATTCAACAACAGGCACTGGGGAAAGAAATGAAAGGGCAGGGGGAAAGATTTTTACCAGATGAACACAAGAAGAATTTCAGAAGAGGTCATGAGAATGTGCTGCTGTTGTGAGCTGTTTCCATCTTAATGGATGATTCACTCCAGCATATTCTTAACCCTTTGTATAGCAATAATGTATACAGCCCGGGAAACTAAGGTCTTTTTTGATGGTGTTTCTGACTCATTGAAGTCACATTTCCTTTCAAGACTTTATTCTTCATTATTAGTGCTTTTCCAAATGTAATGGTTCAAGAGAAGCCATTGGTGGTAGGATTCTTATTACTTATGTCATTTTTGGTTCCTATAAATTTATTGTAATACTGATTGGTAGTTTTGAGGTCAGCAAATAAATCTATTTTTTCCACTCTTCAAGGCTTACTCTTATAAAAAAAATCTGAAACATGTTAACACTAATACTTGCTCTTAACTTTTTCTGTTAATAATCATCTGAAGAACTCCTTTACTTTTTTTACTCAAGTGGAAATGAATTCACATGGGAACTTCTGGGATTTTATTGTTAATTCTGCTAATTTCCTCTTATAAAAGTAAAAATGAAAAATCCATTACAAGATTTTGAATGCAATATTAATTGTTTTAGGAGACAGTTTGTGAACCATGGATATATTATTTACTTAAATACCTTCCTTCCGCCATTTTGTAGTAACTTTGAAGAAGGGAGAGTATGGTTCAGATACTTGGTAAGCAACTGTAAGGGAATGAAACCACATGAGATGAATCCTCACATTGACCCCCTCCTCAGCCAAAGGCAGGACCCACCTGGCATCATCTTCCCTTCTTCTAGCTGCAGTAATCACTTTTAAGCTCAACAAGCCACAAAAATTAGAATGAGCGTCTTCCATTGTCCTCCACTGATGCTATGTTTAATTCCTTCCTGATCTCTTAGCTTTGCACACATAGTCCTAGACCTGTGGTGTCTTTCTGAACTGTCACTTCTGTATCTGGGTGTTTGCCTTGTGTGATCTGACTCTGGCATTCGCTTTTTTCCTTGGATTCAAAAACTTGCCTCCTTACCCTATGTGTATGTACACCCGAATCCATAGGGTGTGTCTGCTACTAAGGAATGTGCTTGTTCCGTGGTATCTAAACCTCTCTTGTTTTAACTAAAGATCCCTTCCTGGCCTCTTCTGGCCAACCCAGTTTTGCAACTTCCTGTGCTCCTGCAAGACATCTCCTCCACTGGAAGTCAGACAGGGTGTTCCAGAATTAACACATCTCATAGCAATTAAACATCCTTTCTCCAAAATAAAACATGCAAACCTAAACCTTGTTGAACATGGTGCTCAGTACCTGTAGGTCAGAATAGCTTTTGTGTTTCACAAGGAGAGTCTAAAAGGAAGATGAAAGAAGATTCATTGTGAGAAGCAGGAGATTCAAATGGGAAAATACTCTCAATCCTGTTCAGTGAGGATGGTAGAGTTGTATAAAGAAAAAAGTCATTTTCCCCTTTTAAAATTGGGAGATGGGAGCCGGGCTCGGTGGCTCAGCCTGTAATCATGCGCCTTTGGGAGGCTGAGGTGAGTGGATTGCCCGAGCCCACGGGTTCGAGACCCACCTGGGCAGCGAGACTTCATCTCTACAATAAATCACAAAATCAGCCAGGCGTGGTAGCACATGCCTGTAATTCCGGCTACTTGGAAGGCTGAGGCAGAAGGATTGCCGGAGGCCAGCAGGTTGAGGCTGCGGTGGCCGGGAGCGGCCACTGCACTCCAGTCTGGGCGACAGAGTGAGACTCCAACTAAAAAAAAAAAAAAATTGGGAGATGGGAAAATATGTGATAGAAAAATTAAGCAAGAAGATTTCATTATGTCAGATTTCCTAAGTGACAAACTCAAGATAATGGTTGAGGATAACATGGGAAGATTAAGTGCTGACTTTGCAGGGTGCACATTTGGAGGATATGCACTGATTCACCCAAAACAGTTTTACACCACATCTCTTCTGACTGTTCAGTGTCAATGCTATCTATACTGGGTGCTAAATATAGATATAGACTCGACTTATAGGACAGCTTTTGCAACATGGTTAGTGCTAGATAAGTATTAATGCTATCATCATCATAATTGCATCAATTTACAATATCCCAAGGATTGGGACATTTAAACATCATTTGAGCCATTTTTAAGAAAGCAGAATTAGTATGAGGAAGTTATTTCATATACATATTTTATAAAAAAGACCAAGAAATCCTGTTTAGCTCCAGCTATTAAAAATGAAAATGTGTTACTGTTAAACTATCAGTTTGAAATCACATTACAGGGTGAACTGTACGTTTTCAATATCATTTATTCAAAGAGAGATAAATCTGCCTCGGCTTGGCTTATTTCGACCAGATAATTTATTTTAAACACATACATACATACACACACATTAGAGTTCCTTACTGAAATATTAATGAAAACGTAGTATGTGTTTCAAAATAATCTATTAGGGGAAGATACAGATAGGCAAATTTAAATATAAAAGATCAGTCATGAGTTGATCATTGTTAAATCTGGACAAAAGTAGACATGAAAATCATTATATTATTCTCTCTTTTTTGTATCTATTTAAAAGTTTCCATATGAAAAGATTAAAACTCAAACATGTGCATATTCATATTCAGGTAAATATTATTTGGCTTAAATCATACATGCTGATTCTCTACACCTGAAGAGTTCATCGTTTGAGCTGTAATTGGCATTAATCTTACAGTGTTTTACAGCATTTCAGAATGTCCTTAGAAACTATCTTCAGCAAATTCCTTACCTTGCAGTTGAAGCAGTTGATTCCCTTTGCCAAACTACACACTGCTAGTTAGTGGTGGAAAGAAGACTAGTCATGTCTTCTAATTTTCCAATCTAACCTCGCAAAAACGCCAGGAAAAAGAGCAGTAGTTACTCCTCACAGGGCATCTGGCCCCTGGTTTATGGCAAAATTTTCCTTTTTGGGGCAATTGCTTCATTTGGTTAATGTAAAAGAAAGTGTTGTTTAAATCTCTTTTCACTTCACTCTGTAGCTATTTTAGTTCTAAGTCTTCATCGCCCACTTCTTCCAAATAAATGTACCAAAAGCTGCTGTTTCAGAGATATCTGTGTAAAGCAAGGACTCATTTGGCAAATACGCCTAATCACTCCTAACATATCATGTTGATGTAAGTTTTTAAGTGGAGGTGAAGTTCTACATTTCTCTGATACAGCCATCTGTGGTAGGAGGCTTTTTTTCTTTTCTGATAAGGTGACCAAGGGTACTGATCTGAAACCAGGCAAAGTGGGGACCAAAGGGAGGCCCAAACTTTACCTGTACAAAGACTACTTGTATACCTAATCCTGAATTGTACCCCACATCTTTAAAATAAAATAAGGTGACCTATGGTGAGGTGAATTCCTGAATGACATCCACTTGGCCCCAAGGAGACTAGTTTAGTCTGGAAAAGTTCAACCGTCACTCTGAGGTGGTTCCCAATGTTTGGTTCAATCTTGAATCAAACTAATTGGATGGACATCAGAGGCATGAAATTTCTAGGCTAAAATGAATTCTCTTCTCTCAACCTACATGTGTGTGTGTGTGTGTGTGTGTGTGTGTGTGTGTGTGTGTGTGTGTGTGTGTGTAAATAATTGGACGCTATGAGCCTGATGTATGTGTGACCTATGTATTAAATCAACTGAACTCAAAAGGGTGTAGTCAGGAAAAAGTTATTATATATTATTATATACATATATGATACCAATATATTATATATATATTTCATATTTCTCTTCCCAACTTACCTGCCCATAGATGGGACTCTTGAGGAAAACAGGATGTGATGATTATCTCGGGGTCAGACTTTTATTAGACTGTTTATATCTGGTTTTCTTTTCTTTTTTTCAGATGGGTGAGTCAAATGAAGATATAGACCAAATGTTCAGCACTTTGCTGGGAGAGATGGATCTTCTGACCCAGGTAAACTACCCTTTTTAACTTGCAAATTAGAAAAAGCTGGGGTTACAGGATTTGATGTTGATATGACAAGAGGGCTGTCTTTAATTTTTTAAAACTGCAGATTGACAATATTATGTATTTCTGATATAACTGTGACATTAATGATTTAAAAAAATAAAACTTTTCCTGACTACACCCTTTTGAGTTCAGTTGATTTAATACATTGGTCACACACACATCAGGCTCATAGTATCCAATTATTTACCAAAAGAAGAATTTTCCCTACCACTGAGCAAATTTCCCTGTGGCTACCTTATAAAGACTAGTTTTAAAAAATGACATCATCTTTAGTAAAGATTGTTTTACCAACCTTTGAGGAGATGCCACATTTTAAAGGACTAAATTATTATGGCCGCCTGATTAGACTATAAGAACTTAGTCCCCTCAACGGAGTGTGAAAGCCACTTGGCCATAGGCTGTGAGTCTGAAAAAAGCTGCGGCACCAAGACCAGATTACCTCAGAGGTCACAGACTCCCCAATGTCAGGCCCATGTCTGCTGACCTGGGAGTCACTAAGCCAGGTTACAGTCAGATGAGCTTTTAGTGTATCTCGTAGTATTCTCATAAATGCTTCTTTGATTCAAAAGATAGCTAGCTCATCACTTTTCTGCATAAAATTACAAAAGAATAAGCCAATATTCCTAAATAAGATGGAGATCTTTAAATTTTTCCTACAAAATAAATGAGTCGTCTATGTTTAGAAAGACTAGTTATTTTAGGGAAAATAAACCAATTTTAGTTAGCAACAACTTTATATTCCAACTAACTTCAAGTAAGTTGAGATTCTATGAAAAAAGAAACAAAATATGAGACACTAAGCTTAGAGGAAAGGTTGCTAGTTAAAAGGTAAGTGTTAGGATGGCAGCCATGTATCTATCAAGAATAGGAAAGAAACCCCTCTAAGTCTCTTGGACCTGCTTTCATCCAAGGTGCTCTTGTTTTTCTTTCTTTGTTGTTTCCAAGCATAGTCATAGGGCTTTGCTTAGCTGATACAGATCTCCCAACAGGTAGGTCTCAGGATTTTAGGGTAAGGAAAAAGACCTAAATTGTCTAAAAACAAATAATAACAGCATAACATTGAATCCTGAAACAGCTTTTCTCTTTCAAATGACTAAATGTTTTTTTCTTTACATAAGTCATTACGTAAGTCCTTATAGAATTATATATATAGTGTATGTGTTCATCATTACAAGTAATTTTTTCTGTACCATGTAAAAATTAACTTAACTATCTCATTCTAATCATTCTCAATTGAAGTGTTCTATTTCAAGATGTTCCTTCTGGAATAATTTTTGAGTTATAATTTCCTATAGGGAAAAAAAACACATAAACCATTTTCATATGATTTTAGAGGGCATATTAAAAGAGAAGATGTATAAATAATATAAGACTTTTGACTTGCTGATTTCAATGCTACAGATATGTTTGTATTATGAATAACTTTGGGCTGGGGGATCTATTTTCACAGAGTTTAGGAGTTGACACTCTTCCTCCTCCTGACCCTCAACCACCCAGAGCTGAATTTAACTACAGTGTGGGTTTTAAAGACTTAAATGGTAAGCATAACAATTTCTTTTTTTAAGATATTTGAAATCATAAATACAATTAAAGGAACCTAGACATAATGATAAATACAATTATCAAAGCCATGGATTTCAGATTGTGTTTTACTGTGTCTGCATTGAATTAAGACAGTCAAGAAGATATTTTTGCCTTTAATGAAAGTGAGCACCAGCCTGCATATTTTAATTCTTAAAATGATCTTATTTTTTGAAATAAGGGAAGTTTCCTCTCATTATTAACCCCATAGCATAACAAGGAGTAGTATGCAAAAATATTAATGAGTAAATGTCTCTTTAAGTAATAAAATGAACTGTCTATTTCATAATGATTAATAAGACATGAATTGATATATCAAACTATATTTTATTTAAAATACATTTTAATTTATATACAATAGACACTCTACTTGACATTTTCAAAATTCTTCCTGAGCTTGTCATTTTATTCTATTAACAAAAATTCCTCTTTTTATTTAGTGGGCAGATACCTCTAGCCCTTGTGCTATTAAATTACAACAAATCTTTAATAAATCACCTCCAAATTAACAAGAATTAACTGTAACTCTTGAAAAAGATTTGCCAAAAACTTGCAGTGTCTACCAAAAAATAGGAAAAACAAAATAACAGAGAAGTCCAGTTATGGAAATGCAGAGAGTTCCAAGTTTTATTTCTATCCTTCACTAGATTTGTTTCTAAAATTTCCAGCAGTTTTTTGATAAACCATTAAGAACCAATGATTGATTTTTGATAAATTATCCTACACCTCTTCCATTTTCTTTTTCCTATAGTCTGTTCTATCTGCCACATAAGCTGATTATTCCTGCCAATCATTTTCATGAAGATGGTAACATTCCTGAAGTTTCAAAAAAGCAGTACACTTTGTAAAAATTATAATAGCAATAGACAACATGTACTTGCACATATGAACAATACAGATTTAACCTCACCACACTCATAACAGCTGCATGCTTTATAATTGGTTGAATTAAAATTAACATTTAATCAATATTTCAGCTCAGTCATAGTTAAGTCAACTAATGCCTTTAAGCACTTCGATGCCTGATATTTAAAAAAAACCACTGAAAATGATAGGAACAAAGAAACTCAGCAAGATATAAACATAGTAATGTTACAGTCCAGTAATTAAAACCATTTCATTAAGGAGACAAGATGTATACATGTGGCCTAATTTGGATATAGAACAAGACCATTAAAAATTATTGGTTTGCGCCGGGCTCGGTGGCTCAGCCTGTAATCCTGCGCCTTTGGGAGGCTGAAGTGAGTGGACTGCCTGAACCCATGGGTTCGAGACCCACCTAGGCAGTGAGACCTCATCTCTACAATAAATCAAAAAATCAGCCGGGCGTGGTAGCACATGCCTGTAATTCCGGCTACTTGGAAGGCTGAGGCGGAAGGATCGCCGGAGCCCAGTAGGTTGAGGCTGCGGTGGCCGGGAGCGGCCACTGCACTCCAGTCTGGGCGACAGAGTGAGACTCCAACTCAAAACAACAACAACAACAACAAAAATTACTGATGTGCGTGTGGAAAATTAAATGTGTAAAAGCTAAGTTAGGAAGAGTTTTTTTATTATCTTCACTTTAAATATTGCTAAAATGAGTTCAAAATATTTTGCCTAAAGTCATTCAGAGAGTTAATGACAAACTTCAGAATGAAATTATTTTTATATTATTCCCCAATTGCATATTGCTCAATTATATATTAATAATTTTATGTAATTTATATTAATACATTTAGTGTATGTTAATAAATTTAAGATTATTAGTATATTAGTAATAAATTAATGAATAATATAAATTTTAATATATTAAATTTGTTTTGGAAATTTTTAATATAAGTATCATTATGGGGTTTTTATCCCTAAACTTTTTATAATACTTTATATGTCAAAAGTTACAATGTGATTGATTTTGTTAGAAAATTCTAGATAAATTTCACTAGTTCTATATATATTTTCTCTGAAAACATTTTAAATTAATTTAACTCAATTTTATAAAGAGGTTATAGGTAGAAATGGTTTACAATAAAATAAACCCTTTTCACATTTAGGAGATCCAAACTTTAGTCCGAGTACTGTGCACTAGAACTATTAATATTCATGTAATATGCTACATGGTGCTTATGATGATAATGTTTGGCAATAAATTATTTCACAAAACTTTCTGCTGACTTGTTACTGAATAGGCTTAGTTTCCTTGCTCCCGTTTCCTCATTCTGGTCGATCATCTACATAGCAGCTAGAATTCTCATCCTCACAGATGCTTCCATTCCACCCATTCTTTGTTAGTTACATCCACTACATAATGATGGCTGATCATCAAAGTGCTCTATTAACCCTCCTCACCAACACCACTCCCACTAAGCCACACAACCTCATCAACTTCCAGGATCACACATCTGATCGACTGCAGTATCACACTTGGAAGAAATTCTAAGGCCAGCTCTCCTCCCTCCCCCTCACTCTGAAGTCTGACCTTTCTTTTAAAAGTTAACTCCCAGCTTGCGGTCTTCATCAAGTTTCCTACCATTTAATTCCATAATTTTTTTTACTCCTTAATACCTTTGGTGCTTTAATTCTTGCTGTTTATCATTAATTGCTCTTTCTTTGAATGTGAGGTTTTCTGTAATTGGGTGATGAGCCTACAGAAGCTCTATCTTCACCCAAAAGTTTCAAGACTTATTAAACCCCAGTTGTTTGAAACTCAACTTATTTTTAAAATATTTTTGAGCAGTATTCTATCTACCCTCCAAATGCTTGGGGAGACCCCCCTCCTCCACCCATTTTTAATATTCCTCCCTCCCTACTTTTCTAAAACTCTTAAGATTTTGCACTAAGAATGTACAAGAACATGCTCGGATTGGACTTTATAGATGATGTATGAATTACCCCAATATAGAAACTCACTCACATTAAGCACTCAATAAATGCAGCAATATTATCACTTTAGGAATTCCTATACTTATATGTGTGCTATAGATATTGAATAAAAAATATTTTCAACCTTTATAACAAGTCAGAATAATGATTTCCCCCTACTCAAATATTACTCTTAAAAATGATATTCTCTCTAATCCCAGCACTTTGGGAGGCTGAGGTAAGAGGATTGCCTGAGCCCACGGGTTCGAGATCAGCCTGGGCAACTTAGCAAGACCTCATCTCTACAATAAAACAAGAAAAATTAGCCAGGCATGGTGGCGCATACCCGTAGTTCCAGCTATTTGGAAGGCTGAGGCGGAAGGACCCCTGAGCCCAGCAGGTGGAGGCACCAGTGGCCGTGAGTGTGCTACTGCACTCCAGACTGGGAGACAGAGTGAGACTCCGACTCAAAAAAAAAAAAGATCGTTCAGTTTTCACAGGTACAAATAGTTGTTTTTACCATTAATGTGATTTTTTTCCCTATCAGAGTCCTTAAATGCACTGGAAGACCAAGATTTAGATGCCCTCATGGCGGATTTGGTAGCTGACATAAGTGAAGCTGAGCAGAGGACAATCCAGGCACAGAAAGAGTCCTTGCAGAATCAGCATCACTCAGTATCTGTGGAGGCATCAAATTTCAGTGGTGCGGCCTCTCTTGGCTATGGAGCAAATGTTACTGCAACTAGTGTTAACCAATATGAGGATGATTTACCACCTCCACCTGCTGATCCCATGTTGGACCTACCACTGCCACCACCACCTCCTGAGCCTCTCTCTCAGGTAGGTACCTGGGGCCAGAGATGGTAGAACCTGTGACCTCTGCTACCCATCATTGGCTTCCTTGGAAGTGATGATTACATTCCTAAGTTTGTGCCCTCAAAGCTCTGAGATACTAAGACAAGGATATGAAACACGTTTGTTGCAAAGCCAGAGCCCTTCCTAAACAAGATGCATAGGTATGTACAAAGAACATAATAGGGCCATTTTCAGGATTTACTATAGTTCAGTCAAAAGCTATATTTGTATGCAGACACTCCCTGATAATACTCAACTTTTAGGAAATATTTTATTAAACATTGTATGAACTGTGGAACTGATTTGTATATTTATATATTTCTATGTCCTAGTCCCTAGTTCAGCCCATAGAGAAGGCGTTCATTACATGTTTTCTAAGTTGAGCTAAATTGAATTTTTTTTAACTTGACAATCCTGTTCAGTAGGACAAAGACATATTCAAGTATCACTTGTAATGTGATAGGGAGGGGTGTTATAAGGTGGACAGGGAGAGGATGGGTACTTGATAAATTTCTGAATATTGGAAAACAAACAATGGGAAGGTTCATATTGTCATTATTTGAGACATTAACTCATACTGTGTCTCTCATAAAAGTAAAAAGAGCATTTTTTAGAATTTTTCTTATAGTATGCCACTTAAAGTATTGAACCCAGATCAATTTCCTGTGGCTTCCACATTTGTTGTACTGTGTGATGGTGATAAATATTCATAAATGTGGCCCTAGGGACTCTGAAAATTGGTTATTAATATAGAGCAGAGGTTCTTAACATAGGATCCATAAAGATTTCAAGGAAGTCATAAGTCCCCTGAAAATAATGCATATGTGAAGATTTATGGGCTTCCTTCTTTCAACATGTTCTTCAAGGGACTTGTAGCTCAAAAAACATTTAAGAACCACTGGTATTAGAAGATATATGTCTACATTCAAGTAATTAGAATGTAACCAGAACAGCTCATTTTCCCATTATTATGAATTGAGGAGAGCCTCGATAATACTGTTTTTGGAATATTAACTTGCAAAAACCAAAGGGCTTGGGGCTCATAAAATACTTCATCTTCTTTTCTGCCTGTTCATATGTATTTGTCAGTGATTTTTTTTTGGTGAATTTTAAGTTGAAACTTGAGTCTAAGTCTTAACTTCTGGAGCATTAAGGACTCATCTGGAGGATGTTGAATGTTCCCAGCACAAACAAATGATGAATGTTTAAGATGATGGATATGCTAATTACCCTGATGTGATCACTATATACCATATGTATTGAAATATCACTATGTAACCCATAAATACGTTATTATGTATCAACTAAAAATAACATAAATTAAGAGGAATAATACCATTAAATACCTAAATTCATAATTGAAAAAAAGGACCCCTTTATGAATCTGATAAAAACTAGGAATCCCCAAAAAGTCATCCTGATCCAAAAGTATGCAGATAATTTCGGGGAATGTTCAAATCCCTTGAGATGGTTTCATCTATAGATTCCTTAGACTAGATCCCAGTTTGTGAGCCAAGTAGAGATTTTTGTGGTCTAAGTAGGTGAAGCACTGTTAAAGTCATCACTTCCATCTTTTAAGTTATTATTCACGAGCTATAAAGGGTGACTGACTGCTTTCTATTTCAATTTGGGTTGAAAAGTTTTGTTATTGTCATTAAAATTCTGAAAATTGAGCATGTGAAGTTTGGTACCTTCTGTTAACATAAAGTAACATAAAACAGTGGCAATGACACAGGTAATTACTCACGGGTATTATTTAATAGACTGAGTTGAATATCTTGCCCTATTTCAGGAAGAAGAAGAAGCCCAAGCCAAGGCTGATAAAATTAAGCTGGCATTGGAAAAACTGAAGGAGGCCAAGGTTAAGAAGGTAAAATATGAAACATTTTTGCCTAGGGGAAGTTAAATTAATGACATCTGATTATACTTAGTGATAAAAAAATTTTAATGATACTTTCCAAATAGCTGTAATCTTCAAAACTTTTTAAGGACAAAGATAAATTATATAGTTATTCTTTCTATAATATCAGTTAACTCATTTATGCTTGATAAATAAGGGACCTGTATTAGAATAAATGTGGAGGTTTCCTTGGCTTTACATAATCTTTTTATTGGGTTATCTGTGATTTTCTTGACAGCTGGAATGTTGGGAATAGAATCATACCATCAAAAGAAAGCAAAAGGCCCTTGGCTCAGGTGCTGTACAGGCAGGGACCCTTTCTGTTCAATTTTAAGAAGTTTATAAACAAGTGCACATCCAGGACTTTCTGCCTTGAAGCATTCTCTCTGGGGCTTTGCACAGCTCTGGGCTTACAGCAGGTGGCGCCACTTTCAGGGGGACCTGTCTTAATTGGGCCAGAGCTCAGCTCCGTTGGCCTGGTCCCCACATTTCTGCAATTGATTTTGTGCATATTTTGTGTCCCTTGGGGCAGCCTTCAGCCCTGCTGCCATCCCTGGATGTCCAAGTTATCTACTCGAGTACCAAATGTTGTTTTTGCTGGTTCTCTGGTTTCAAAGTTGCATAGGGTTTGTATGATCTGCCCAAACCTACTTTTCCAATAAGCCTGTAATTTTATTGTGCCTTTTTTTTCAGAACATAAGTCTCTCAAGAACACGTGTATTGTAATATAACAGAAACACCTGTATTTAACCTCATTAGAAGCATACACATAATAATAAAGTGTTGGTAATAGTAAATTTGGCAGATTAAGGGAAAGATGAAACAGTCTTCATCTTATTTCAACTCTTGGAGCATTTAACATCTCTGAGACTCATTTAGAACTTGTTTTTTCTTAAGATAGTTTCACAGAACCTATGTGTAGGCAGAATTTTAAAAGTAGTCATCAAGATTCCTGTCCTTGGGTTTACTTCTTTTAAAAATTTTTATTTTAGAATCAAGGGGTAAATGTGCAGGTTTGTTACATAGGTATATTTTGTGATGGTGAACTTTGGGCTTCTGTTGACCTTTTCATCTGGTGGTGAGCATGGTACCCCGTGAGTGGTTTTTCCACCCTTGTCCCCTATCCTCCCTCTCCCCTTTAGGAGTCACCAATGTCTGTCATTTCCATCCTTGAGCCTGTGTATACCCAGTATTTAGCTCCCACTTGTAAGTGAGCATATGTGGTATTCAGTTTTCTCTTTCTGTGCTAACTTGCTTAAAATGATGGTCTCCAGCTGCATCCACATTGCTGCAAAGTACATGATTTTATTCTTTTGTTATGACTATGTAGTATTCTATGGTGAATATATACCACATTTTCTTTATTCAGTCTGCCATTGATGACCATGTAGGTTGGTTCCATGTTTTTGCTCTTGTGAATAGTACTGTGCAGGTGTCTTTTTGGTAGAATGATGTATGTTCCTTCGGGTACATACTCAATATTGGGATTGCTGGATCGAACGGTAAATTTACTCTCAGTTTTTTGAGAACTCTCCAAACTGCTTTCCACATAAGCTGAACTAGCTTACATTCTTACCAACGGTGTATGAGCAGTTCCTTTTCTCTGCAGCCTTGCCAACTATTTACTGATCATTGGGTGAATTGTCTTTTTCACCTAGGGCTTTACGCTGTATATTCGCACAGCACCAAACACAGTTCTTTGAATGTGTTCAATACATGTTGTTTGACATTTAATAAGTGGTTATTAACTATTCTTGGATCCACACTTTCAAGATTCATCTGGAAAAGTCTTCCCAGATCACCCTGGTTCTACTCTTTTCAAACATATTCTCTGCATGTGATTAAATTCCGTGGCCAATCCCTGGAATACTACATCCTTAGCTGCCTTGCCCTTCTCTCCAACCCTGATTAAATACAACCCGCCTCCTACTCAATCCCAGCCCTCAGGGTCACCTGAGCTTCCCTGGTCTAATCACTCTCCCACTCACCTAGAAAACCATTTATACCTTGCCCTCTCTTTTAAGACCTCCAAAACCTCTGTCCTCATCCACATTCTCTCAGTTAATGATTTTGTTGTTCATTTCACGGAGAAAATAGAAGCAATCCAAAGAAAAGTTGCACAAGCTCCCACCAGCACGTTTCCCTACCTGCATGCCTGCGTCTGTTCACATGTACTCCACAGTAGTGGACCTCTCATGTTTCTGTCTAAGACCAGCCTCTCCTCTTGGGCTCTAATTCCCAGTCTCTCTTCTTCTCCAATGCTCTAAAGTCTTCAATGTCTGCTCCTGTCATACATGAAGCCAACATCCTGCCAATTGCCTCCAGCCCCTATGTGATCTGGCTGCCAGTCATCTCCCTGACCTCACCTCCCACTACCCACTCCCTCATGGCTACTCCTCAGACATTCCAGACCTGCCCTTTCCTTGAGGCCTTGGCACTGTGCAGTTCCCCTGCCTCTTCGCCAGACTCTGGGAAGGTTCGCTCTGCCCCTCCTTGAAGGCTTTGGTTATCTTCTCAGCGAGGTCTTCCCTGAAACGGCACACACATCCCTGATGCTCCTGATCCTTACCCACTTTATTGTCCCCCTCAGTGCTTCACACTATCCACGATGCTATCTTTCCACTTACCTTATTTATCCTTTGTACCATTCATATCCTCTCCCTACCCCTCCAGGGATGTCTGTCTTCTTTTCTCCACCAATGTATCCCCATCTCTTAGAGCAGGTGCCAGAGATACACAGAGGTGAACAAGTCAAGCGAAGGCCCTGCTTGTGGAGAGTTAGAGTCTAGCAGGGGAGATGAGTGCTCTGAAGAAAATAAACCAGGAAGAAGTGATAGAGAGTACCCAGGCAACTCTTCTGGTTGGGCTTGGTGATGAGGAAGTATCTTTAAGGTCGTAATACTTGCATGAAGATCTCTGGTGAGAGGCACCCAGATACACATGGGTATTGGGTCAAGGGAAGCACCCTGGAGAGGGAACAGGCAGTGAAAGACACCAGGCAAGAATGAACCTGGGGAGACAGGAACAAAATAAAGACCAGCGTGGCCATTGTTCAGTAAGCTGCTGGGTAGAGCAAAGGAAGGAATTGAGGTCGGAGAGACAGGTGGGAGTCATAGGATCTCACAGGATAGAGGAGGAGTTTGGGTTGTATTACACGTGTAATGGGAAGCCATTTGAGGAGTTTAAACAGGGGAGTATGAGATGAAGGAATCGTTTTTCAAGGTTATACCAGCTGCTTCATGGGAAATGGATTGTAGGGATAAGGAATGAGAGCAGAGTTCTAGCACAAACCCTCCCAAAGATAATTGTGTGTCGAATGGAGTCACGCAAGGATCGCAGATGAGAATGGGCTGTTCCTAGTCATTGACTTTCCCTCTGGAGATAAAAAGAAAGTGAGAAAAAATAAAACTCAAAATTAGTCTATTTCAAACCCCTGTGCTGTTTATAAAATGAGAGCCACACTGTGTATATTTTCAGAGGTGAAATGAAAACAGAAGTAAGTTGTTTCTTAGATAAAAAGGTAGAACAGCTAGCAGGTTCAAGTCTCTTCGCTTCAGCTGGAGATTAAGAAAGCAGGAGGAGGGGGCGGATATTTCCTGCCATGTCTCAGAAAGCGACAGCTTTTCTGTGATATAGTTTAGATGAGCTATAACGGTAGACATAAAACACAACCTGCCTTGGTTCAATAGAGAAGATTTAAAACAGAAGCCACTCCAATCAGTGGGAAAGGAAGGAAAATTACAAAGACAAGTTATGTATTTGTTCTGATTTCAGATACTCCAAATGTATTTTCATTTGTGTTCATGGTGCAGAATATTAAAAATAACTGTGACATACTCATACATTAAGAGAATAACTGTGATGTACTCTCACATAATCTACCACATGTTTTTAAAAGATGGAAATCAAGTCTGTCTGACGTACTTTGCCCTTAGGTAGTCTGTGGGGTGTTGACATCATTTTGACTGACAAATGATGTACACACTTTGTGCTGTAAAGATTTTAGAACTCGAAACAGAATCAAACTCATGCATTTTTTTATTGATTTGTTTATTCTAAAGCCCTGTGACACAGGAGAACAATTTCATTCGTAAATCTCGTTATTGGAGAAAAAATTAAATTGTAAGTAATTTACAGCTAGGATATTTTTGTATTTAACAGCTTGCAAAAGAAAAGTAAAAAGAAATAATAAAAACTATAAAATATTTAATGAACTAGAAAAGTGAAGTTTTTCATTCTTGAATTATTTTGCCCTATATCATTTAGTACAAATAGGAAAGGAACTTAGCTTGCTAAATCACATAACTCTAATTTATGTTACATTACATAACTGTGATTTAGTGTTGTTATGTATTGGCAGAGAGCTACCCTTCAACTTGCAAATGTGAAGGAAGTTGTGAAGAATAGTAAAATGATTTTTCTTGTTAAACATCACCAACCTCCTCTTATTTTTCCCCCTAAATTCTATAATTGTGGACATTTGTAAGTAAATGTGGATTAAATCCAATTTGCAGTTTCTGCAAAAGACAAAACCTACCTTTCATCATTGCCTTATGTGGTTTAGTATATGTATACATATTTACTATATTTATACAATTGTCTATATTTATAAATATATATAGCATATATTTTTTCTATATATATACAAAAGAAAATAGTAGCATACATTTTATTATCTCAAGAATTCCTGAGCAGGAATGAAATGTAATCAAACATCATTAATTTTTTCCATCAGGGACATGAAGTTTTCTAAACCCTAACATTGGTAACGTTTCTTAGCACATGGAACTACTTTACAGAAATAACTCTCAGCAAAGAGCAGCAAGTATGCCTTCCAGAGAAAATAAATCATAGTAAAGACTGGCTAGGTGTGGTGGCTCATGATTGTCATCTCAGTATCCTGGGAGGCAGAAGTGGAAGGATTGCTTGAGCCCAGGAGTTTGAGACCAGCCTGGCAACATAGCAAGAATTTGTCTTTACAAAAAATACAGATATTAGCCAGGCATGATGGCGCATACTTGTAGTGCAAGCTACTTAAGATCCTGAAGAGGGAAGATCACTTGAACCCAGGAGTCTAAGGCTGCTGTGAGCTATGATCATGCCACTGCACTCCAGTCTGAGCAACAGAGCAAGACTCTGACTCAAAAAAAAAACCCCCGCTATTTAAGGAATTTGTCTTTTTTTCTCCTTGACTCATTTCTAAGGTCAGATGAATGTATCTTTCATACTGTGGTACTCAGGCCTATCTTTTTTTTTAAGAAAGCAGGAATTATTGAGAGGACAGAAAAGCTCCCACAGTGGAAGGGGACCCAAAGGGGTTCCCTGGACCTATCACTTTAAATACATCGAAAGGCACACATAGGAAAAAAGCAACTATCCAACAATAAGTCTTGAAGGGAAAAATGTATTCTTCAGGCAAGCCTAGGAGAAGGGTCTGATTTGTATGGTCCTGGAGGAGGAAGTACGCTTCAACTGCCTCATGTCTATATTTTAACTCTTACAGCGTGTGTGTGTGTGTGTGTGTGTGTGTGTGTGTGTGTGTGTATTGGGAAGAGGAGGGGGGGCTGTGTGAATGCTTCAACTTGTGGTTGTTGCCTGCTCCTCACCCAGATACTGACCACCACACACACCCTTCTTTTGCCATCAGTAACTCTGCTTGATAGTCTATAGGAACCACACTCTTTAGTCTGTTAACTACAGTGTCTTCAAGGTCAGGTTAGGTAGAAATGGGATGGACAGGGCAGTTTACCTGCCAGTGATATCCAGAGTCCTTGAGGAAGATAAGTAAATGCCGCCCCTACCACGCCAGATTTGGAATGAGATAGCTACCAATTTGTGAATTCAGTTTCATTGGATTTTTTGAAAATGGAGTAAAAAGGTTAATTAGATCGATCATTTACCTACATGCCTCCAGAACAGCTTGTTTCTCAGTCTACATTCATTTACCGAACCCGACTCTGATCTCAACTGTGATTTGCTGTGATATAATCTTCGTCTCACTCAGGCCCTTTGTGACATTGTATGATGGCACACTCTATGGGCCTTCAAAGAATTGTAGATTAACCAGCTTGTTCTTACCTGGTGTCTGTAGACTCCTAGGTTGCATGAAATGGGATCTAACTCCAGTTACACAAAAGAGAAGAATTTATTATAAAGATGCATTACGGTTCATGCCTGTAATGATAACATTTTGGGAGGCTGACGGGGACAGGTTGCCTGAACTCAGGAGTTTGTAGAGTAAAACTTCATCTTTGCAAAAAAAAGGGAAAAGAAATCAACAAATTAGCCAGGCATGGTGACACATGCTTATAATTCCAGCTACTTGGGATGCTGAGGTGAACCCAGGGGCTTAAGGCTACAGTGATCACGTCATGATCATGCCACTGCATTCACTCCAGTCTGGATAACAGAGTGCAACTCAAAAAAAAAAAAAAAAAAGATACAGATACAGGCATGGCTTTCTATCAAGAAATGCATCTGGGCTCCAAGATGGAACCAGAACAAATAACAGATGTTGGGAAAGCAAAAAGTCAGCACTCCTTTGGTTCCGTTTGTTTTCTGTCTCTCCCACCAGAATGCCAAGTCTCTGAAGGCTGTGCAAGGAATTTATATATTATTTGTTTTCTGTGTCTGTGAGTTGGTTTTTCTGCTTCTATGCTCCTAACGTCTAAAACAAGCGCCTGTCATACAAGAGAGTTTAGCTGGAGCCAGTTCACAGCACACAATCTTATTTAAATTTGCTCAAACAATAGCAACTGTGAAACCTTAGTCTTAGTGGCCTTCTCCCATTGCCGAAATTTACTCGCTGCTCCGTGGCTTTATCCTCAGCTTGTCGTCAAGGTGCACATGAATGACAACAGCACAAAGTCCCTGATGGTGGATGAGCGACAGTTGGCCCGAGATGTTCTGGACAACCTTTTTGAGAAAACTCATTGTGACTGCAATGTGGATTGGTGTCTTTATGAAATATACCCAGAACTACAGATTGGTAAGTCCCATCCCCAGCAATGGCTGTACTTTAAAAACCTTGTGGGCTTTAGCCTGTTCTTAAGAAGACTTTGGTTCAAGGCTCTGAAGATGCCCCATATGTCACTTTCTTTATGTGGGATTTGGGGCTTGCCTCTTCATTCCTTTGTGGTGAAGAGACTCAGATCCTAGCAGGTGGTCAGATGTCAGATATAAGCATTCTTCGTGCTACCTCTCTAGTGGTCCCATAGTAAAAGAAGGTAACAGGATAATACTTGATAAGATACTGCCTGGTGAGCCGAGCAGATTGTAGGAGAGTCCGCTGATGATCCTTTAGGAGTTACTTCCTGAATCTGTTGTAACTCTCACGGGCCTCACATCAGTGTTCATTTCCCCATTCTCCCTCCCACTTCCTAATCTCTGACGCTTTGTCTAGTGGAACAAGCTCAGCCCAGAAAGTTTAGGACAGTCGGGAGAAATTGATGGAGAGAGAGAGAGAAGAAGAAGGAGGAGGAGGAGGAGGAGGAAGAGGGAGAGGGAGGAGGAAGAAGAGGGAGGAGGAGGAGGAGGAAGAGGAGTAGGGGAGAAGAAGAAGGAGGGGAGGGAAGGCAGGAAAGAGAGGGGAAGAAAGGAAGGCAGGAAGAAAACAATTAAAGAAAAACTTTGTGACCCAGTTCGATGGCTCAGCCTATAATCCCGTGTTTGGGAGAGTGAGGTGAGTTGGATTGCCTGAGCCCACGGGTTTGAGACCTGCCTGGACAACTTGGCGAGACCTCATCTCTACAATAAATAAAAAATTAGCCGGGTGTGGTAGTGTGCGCCTGTAGTTCCAGCTCCTTGGAAGGCTGAGGCAGAAGGGTCGCCGGAGCCCAGCAGGTCGAGGCTGCGGTGGCCGGGAGCGGCCACTGCACTCCAGTCTGGGCGACAGAGTGAGATTCCAACTCAAAAAAAAAGACTTTGTTACTTCGCCTCCTTAATAACACTCACAGGACAGTTATTGCCCAGAAGAACTGGGTGGAACACAGAATTACCTGTCTTACAAGCTTTGGGTGAATTTTGTTTTTCTGAAGGAAATGTTCTACACTAAAGAAGGCCCTTGAAGTTTTCTTCAATCCTATGAATCAAGGGAGGAAATGAAAGCCTTTCTTTACGTTCAAGTTTAATTCAAGTGTCATACATTGTTTTTAGAATTTTAAGGAATGATGTTTTAGAGTATACATTGTGGATCTTACAGTTTTATTCAAATTATTGCTTTATTGTCCTCCTCGCTGATGGAATGTTTGCTGCCACTTGGGACTATTTTAATTTAATTTAACTTTTTTTAGATGAGATCTCACTGTGTTGCCCAGGCTGGTCTCAAACTCCCTGGCTCAAACGATTCTCCCACCTCAGCCTCCCAGGTAGCTGGGACTGCAAATGCACACCAATGTACCCAGAATCACCTGGGACTATTTAAAGTAAAAAATGGTACTATGAAAAAAAGTATATCACCAGACAGGATGGCACACATCTGTAGTCCCACCTACTTGGAAGGCTGAGGCAGGAAGATCACTTGAGCCAGGAGTTTGAGGCTGTAGTGAGCTATGATTTTTTTGCCTTTGAATAGATTGCAACATAGCAAGACCTAGTCTTTAAAAAGAAAGAAAGGGAGAAAGGGAGGGAGGAAAGGAAGGAAGGGACAGAAGGAAGGAAAGGGAGGACGAGAGGGGGGAAGAAGGAGGGAAGAGAGAGAAAAATGTGCTGTAACTAACTGTTGTCACCATGCTATGGGCTCACCCATCCTGTTGGGGTTTTTTTGAGTTGGAGTCTCACTCAGTCGCCCAGACTGGAGTGCAGTGGCCGCTCCCAGCCACCGCAGCCTCGCCTGCTGGTCTCTGGCGATCCTTCCGCCTCAGCCTTCCGAATAGCCGGAATTACAGGCATGCGCTACCACGCCTGGCTGATTTTTTGATTTTTTGTAGAGATGAGGTCTCGCTTGCCCAGGCAGGTCTCGAACTCGCGGGCTCAGGCAATCCACTCACCTCAGCCTCCCAAAGGCGCGGGATTACAGGCTGAGCCACCGAGCCCGGCTCCATCCTGTTTTTTATGGAAGATAAATTGAAGACCTGACAGTGAAAGATAAACATAATAGAAAGTTTACAGTGTAACATCATGTGAGAATTGAGACTCTTAGAAACCTGATGAGGCATTCCATTTAACTAGACAATAACTTGTGTCTTGGTTGGAAACTCTGATGTCTTGGATCTGAAAGAATATTTTTTCTTATTTATCAGAGAGGTTTTTTGAAGACCATGAAAATGTTGTTGAAGTTTTATCAGACTGGACAAGAGACACAGAAAACAAAGTGCTATTTTTGGAGAAAGAGGAAAAATATGCTGTATTTAAAAACCCTCAGGTAAGCTGACCTATATATATTGTTAAACCATATAATGTCTGAAGGACTTTTTTTAATGTCACCTGTATACTAACCACATCATTTGATTATGTCACAAAATATCACAAATGTATTATTTTTACATAAACACAAAGTCAACTCTTAGGCCATATGTAAATTAAGAGCCCCTTAAAGGATTCAGAAATAAAAGAATCCATTTTGCTTTTCTTTGTTTTGTTTTTTCACTCAGAATTCAAAACATATCTATCAGTTGTTATCTAATCCTCTTCTGTCCCCGTTTCTGTTTGGCTCCATTAATCCAATATATCTTGACACCCTCACTGTTGGTAACTCATGCTTCCTGTTCGAAAGATGCACTTTTCTTTGTTGTTTGTATTTGGTGCTTATTAATACTGGGATAACTAAAGAGAACACTTGAAAAATGTACCATTTATTGTGATTTCATCCTACAAGCCATCTGTGCAAGTAAACAGCATTGTTCTTCATATTTGAAAATTCTTCCTTCAAGTTCATTATACAAAGATGTCACTGAGAAGTCCAGGTCTTTTCCCACTGCAGCCTTAAGCAACTGTAATTGCGTGAGGGTCATTAGTTTTTTGTTTTGTTGTTGTTTTTTGTTTGCTTGCTTTAGGGAAATCAAAGAATGTTAGAGGTAAAAGAGATCTTCAGTGTCATCCAAACACCTTTCTATTTTACAGGTCAAACAAACAAACAAAACAAAAACAAAAACAAAAAAGTTCTGTATCTCTAGAGGCAGAATTAGGAGACTCCAGGGCAACTTCCTCATAGGAAAATGCTCTTTCCCCTGTAAGTACTATTTTCTGGGGTCTTCCATAGGTTGTTTGGTGGCTGACTGACAGCAAAGCAATTAAATACAATTAATCACTGTTTGTGATAAATATCAAGCACTAAAAGTACAAGATTTTCAACCCATAACTACCTTCAGCATCATGCTTCAATGCCTGTATTCGTGAGGGTAACAACTAAGCTGCTATAACAAAGAGGCCCCCGACATCAAAGGCTCTAACAAGCAAGAAGCTTATTTCTCTCTCACATCATGGTTCAGACATAGGTGGCTAGACCTAGAAGAATGGCTCTGACATTGTCAACATGTGGCTCTCATCTGTGGATCCACAGTATGTTTTCCACCTGGCCATTTTCCAGTCCATAGGAAGGAAGGAGAGAGCCAGGAAAACGCACAAGCAGACTGCGGCCTACATCCATTGGCCAGAACCTAGTTATGTGGTGACATTGAGCTACAAGAACAGTTGAGAAATTTAGTGTCTATCTGAACAACCACATGTAGAGCTAAAACTGGGATTCATATTAAGGGCCACTACTTTGCAGAGCTCCATAAGACACCTTTTACATTGAGTCTATAAAAATAGTGCCCAGAGTTGTGCAACGTGGCTAGCCTATTGTGTAACTAAGAGGAGGAAGGGGAGAATGGGATCGAGGTGTAGGGGAGCCAGAGATCACCTCCAACCCCTGTGTAGCTTTTATGTCTGCTCTTTGGCTGGATCTAGAAGCCAAATTGGCACCAGGCAGATTAACAAAAGTGTGCAAATATTAGTTGTACATGTGCGTGGGGATCTTCACAAGAGTGAAATACAAAGAAGTGGGCAAAGTGAGCTGCTTTTATACATTTCAAACAAAGAACAACTAACTTGAGAAGAAATAACAGGATAAAGGGAATCTGGCTAAGGGCAGTGAATTTCTAGGATTGTTACTAGGAGACATATAGGGGATGTAAAATGGCTGGGGAAAATAAGAGTTACTTAATTATATTTATTCAGCCACCAGTCTCTGTCTCTGGTGATAAGGGGCTGTCTCCTCACCCTGGTACAGGGAGGGTCCCCTTCCCAGAGGAATCTTTATGGCTTGCTGCATGCAAGAGACGGGTCAGCTCACCCTTCCTGAAACTGCAATTCTCCAGTGTTTTCAACTTGAAATAATATACCAATCCAATATATTTTGGCATGGCATGTCCTTCACTCCAGTGGGCATCTGTAGCTTTCCATAGTAGCTAAAGAATTAGTGCACATATAATAACTGCACACTCCATGAATTTTTACAAAGTGAGCATGCCCATGTTAACAACCACTCATGTGAAGATACAGAGTATCAACGGAGTTCCAGAAGCCTCCCTCATACCCTTCCCAGACGTCATTCCCATTACAAAGGTGGTCACCATCTAGCCAACATCTGAGTTTTTCCCTTTTTTGAACTCTATACATGAAATGAAATCATATCATAAAACTCTTTTGTTTAGCTTTATTTTTGCTCAACTTTCATTCATGTTGTGACCTGTAGGAGTAGTTTCTTCTTCTTCTTCTTCTTCTTCTTCTTATTATTATTATTATTATTATTATTATTATTATTAGTCTTTGAGTCAGAGTCTCAGTCTGTTGTCCAGGCTGGAGTGCACAATCACCATGGCTACCACAGCCTCTACCTGCTGGCCTCAGACAGTCCCTCCATCTCAGTCTTCCAAGTAGCTGGGATCACCGGCAGATACACGTGTGGCTCTTTTTTAATTTTTTTTGTAGAGAAGAGGAGTTGCTACATTGCCCAGGCTGATCTTGAACTCCTAAACTCAGGTAATCCTCTCATGGAGGCCTCCCAAAGTGCTGAGATTACAGGTGTGAACCATCACACCTGGCCGGTAGTTTATTCTTTTTTTACTGTTGTTAATTTATTGTGCAACTATACCAAAATATATTTATCTATAGTCTTGTTGATGGATATTTGATTTGTTTCTAGTTTGGGGCTTTAGCAAACAATGCTGAGTAGTGCATGTCTTTTGTTGAACATGTATAGCTATTTCTCTGGCACAGACACCTATAGATGCAATTGCTGGATCATAGGTTGTGCATATGTTTAGCTTTAGTAGATGCTGCTTAGCAGCTTCCAAATAGATCCTATGACTTGCCTTCCCATTAGCACTGTATGAGAATTCCTCTTGTTCCAGTTCCTTGACAGACATTGTTGTTGCCATTTTTTTTTTTATTTTAGCCATTCTGTGGGTGTGTAGTGGCATTTCCTCTGGTTGAATTTCCCTGATGCCAGTGATTGCAGCACCTTTTCAAATGTGTGTTATTCATTTGAATATCCACTTCAGTGAAGTGCCTACTCAAGCCCTGCACCTTGATTCATAGCCTCTCACCTCAGGCTAAGTCATGACTAATGCCCTAAGAGGAAACGCAGCTCTCATTAGGTCTAGACACCTCTTTGTGGTTCCTTTTTCTCTTGGATCATGACCCCTTGAATCCTTATTGCTTCTGCAACTCTCCAAAGCCATCACACAGATTTTATTTTTAAATCCAGCTTTTCTAACTTTTTTGTCTACTGCAAGCTACTCTATCACAGAGGGAAGCAAAAATCTTCCTAATGAATTCTTTCACATAATAATATGTTCTTAAAATCCAAGTTCAGCCTGGGCATAGTGGCTCACACCTATAATCTCAGCACTTTGAGAAGCTGAGGCAGGAGGATCATTTGAAGCCAGGAGTTTGAGACTAGCCTGGGCAACAAAGCAAGACCTCGTCTCTACAAACAAATTTTTAAAAACTAGCCAGTCATAGTGGTGTGCACCTGTGGTCCTAGCTACTAGGGAGGCTGAGCTGGGAGGATCACTTGAGTACAGGAGTTGGAGGCAAGGCTGTAGTGAGCTGTGATCATGCAACTGCATTCCTGTCTCTAAAAAGTAAAAATAAAAAACCAAGTTAAGTAGATTCTCCTAATCTACTATCAAAGACCAATCTACAAGAAAGACCAAAATTAAAGTGGAGGCATTTTTGAAGTGGGCGCTTTTGAGCAAATATATTTCTATTTTCTAAGTGTTTGATTGGATCATTTATCTTCTGATAAGTGCTCAGCATGGATAGTGGCTTGGGCCTGCTGATCTTAGGGAGAGAGAAGTAGATGTGACTATTATCATCTTGATGCTATGGCTCCTAAAAAGGAGGCTTTGTAATTCTAAAATATCTGAAGTCCCCTTATAAAAAGCCCTATACTGAGACCTTTTGATAGTTTACTTAACATAACTTTTTTAATGCTAAGTTTACACCAAAAGAATAAAAAATCCTAGAGAAGAATTATTTCCAGAGGATGTTTCTTATGGAAGCACAGCCAGAAATTCTTTTGTTTATTGCCTTAGGTTTTCTCCTCAAGTAATGTCTCAAGCAGTTAATTCAAAAGTCCAAATACATCCTGTATTCCATTTAAGTTGGTGAATCTTTCTCAAATGTAACTGCCGACATTGACATTATGTGATGAATCCCAGACAGAGCATGCATCATGGACACACTGCTTCTATTCACAATTCAGGGTTACGTCATGAGCCTACAGGCTTGAGCTTCCTGCCCAGCTGGTCCAAATCATGGTGCTGCCTAGGAAGTATCTGAAGATCTCAGTTAGAAACTGAATGTGCAAGAACTGGATTTAACCAGTGTTCAAAGAAAAACTTAGCAAATTTAACAGAATTTAATTGAGCAAAGAACAGTTCACAAATCAAGCAGCCCCCAGAACTAAAATAGATTCAGAGCATCTCCGGAGCTGCCACGTAGTCAGGTAACATTTACAGGTGGAAAAGGGAAAATGACATACAGAAGACAGATGTGAAGTACAGAAACATCTGGATTGGTTACAGCTCGGTATTTGCCTTATTTAAAAACAGTTTGAACAGCTAACTGCCTGTGATTGGCCAAAACTCTGCTTGGTACAAGACTAGGTTACAGTTCGTTTACAAATCCAGTAAGGTTACAATTTACTATGTATGGAGAAACCTTTAAGCCAAACTTAAAATATGTATGGAGACAGCTTTAGACTAAACTTGACTCAACACTGGAAATCATATAAGAAAAAGACTGAAAATTTGAACAATTTATTTAGTAGTCTCCACAAAAAGTTTCAAGGTATTGAATGTCTTTCCAATGTTGACTTGTACGAGGTGGCTTTAATGGAATTCACTCCAACAGTCTTTTGTTTGGCTTTAGCAA